AATCTTGAGTAAAATAAAATAACGGAAGTACCTTTGTAAACAATATAGGGACACCTTGTTATCAGTGAGTAGAGATCATTCTTGTTGACACCCTTCTCGATATTCCAGTATATGAACACGCCCATTATTTATTTAATTATTCCTTATTAATGGACTAGCTGCTTTCAAATATTTGGTACATCAGTGTCCTCCAAAACTTTTTTTTTGCTCTCATATTCTTCCCTCAAAATGTAGAAAGCCCATGTTTCTTATATATTTTTGAGTTGATATCTGAAATTTTCATCAAAATTGCAAAGCATATAATTCCTGAGGTTTTTTAAAAAATAAATATTGAAATTTTAAAATAAAACTTACCAACTAGCCTTAAATGTATCAAATGAAATTAATATATCACTGCTTTTTCATACACGCTACCATTCATTTACAGCTCCTTAACAGGCAGAAATTTTACTTTCCTCCTTGAATTCCTTTGTTTTACTTCCATCTTAAGGTAGTATATTTTTTAGCATATATATTTCAAGCATTTTAGGAGCACCTGGGTGGCTCAGTGGGTAGAGTGTGCAACTCTTGATATCAAGGTTGTAAGTTCAAGACCCACTTTGGGTGTAGAGATTACTTAAAAACAAACTCTTAAAGAAAAAGAAGATTCAGATTGAAGCATATTATTGATCAGCCTATCCTTCTTATCTGCAATAATATTTATAGAAATTTGATTTTTTAAGCTTTTTTGTCAAAGTGTAAAAATTTCTTCTAAATTGAGTTTTTGCATTAGAATATATAATCAAAACAAATGTTACAAAATTAGCGAAAAAGATTTTTCTATTTATGTTTACATACTGAAAGTGACTGCCATTTAATGAGATAGATGGGATTTTTCTCCATACAATCAAGTATTTTTGGATCAATACTACAGGAATGAAACAGTGTTCCTCATCATTTCTTTCCCAAATCTTTTTTGTTTTTATAGTTGGTAAACATCAAGAAACCCCAGTAGTCTTTATGATAGGGTATTAAAAGTAATAGATATGCTTTCTTTGGGAATGGAAGATGTATTACAACAGTGTCATTCAGTTATTGCTATTCCTTTTTAAACGAAGTGACCAAAAATCACATAGTAATGTATCATTAAGAATTATTTGCGATGAACATCACCTATCAGTGTAATTTCACAAAAGCTAAAAATTTGGAATTTTTGTTAGAGGCATTCACACTTACCACAGATAACCAGCGTTTCTTTTCCTTCCTGCCTCCTTGGGTTTTTTCCCAAGGCCATGTACCACATTAAGATTTGGATGAGGAGGAGACATGCCTTTCTTCTATAAAGTAGGAGGACTGTGAAAGGAAGACTGGTGTGCCTTCTGAGATCCAGCCCAAAACCTTGGCCACAGAGGCGTTCTCAGAAAGAATCCAGTAGACATGAGGCACCCCAGTCAAGTCCCATAAAGCCCCCTGCCCACTCATCCTGTTCAGTTGGCTCAGGGATTACATGTACCCAAGTTTGAAGACCACTGTTTACATCAAACACCATCAGGCAATATTTGCCTAGTTATTGCCTCGGGATAAATTCCTAGTGAGTAGAATGATAGATTTAAAAAGGGCACACCTTCTCACAATGATGCCAGCAATGCCAAAAGGGGATTGTTGGCCACCCCAGAGAGTCTCTGACTGCCTGTTTCCCAGACCCTCACTTTATGGGAGTAGTCTTTTGCCCATCGGCTTGTATTCTCTGTTGAAGTCTCCTGCTTTTCACATGTTTTCACTGTATTTCTTCATGCTTCTATCTTTGTATTTTTTAAGTAGGGTAATCATCTCTGTTTTTAGCTTTAGTTTCCACATAGAAATCCATTTGTCCTTTAGCAAACATGTTCTGTCCTTCCCCGCCACCACTCCAATTTATTAATCTTTCAGTCTCGTTTATGATTTGTTTTGCCATATAGTTTGTCGCTTGCTTGTTGTAGTCGTTTCATCTAGCCAATTTTTAGGTGATTTCAAGTCATGCTTCCAGAGTTTTATAAATTTCATGTTCTTCCCTCAGAGTACCTAAAAGTTCATGTTTTATTTCTAGTGGGTTTACTTTTTTACATGCACATTTTTATATGAAATTTCTTCAGGTATGATTTATTTTTTTATACAGGCTATGTAGTAATCAGACTATAAGCACTATTCTTCTAAAAGAGTGGTTTCCTAACATGTTGGGAAAAATACAAATATACAAATATAACTCATCTACTAGAGAACTGACCTTATTTTTTTTCCTTATTTTCTTCTCAATCTTTTTTTCAATAAAAGATCATTAAGATGGTCGAAGTCAGGCTTTGACCACCATCTCAGACCCATTCCATCCTTCGTGGCTTCTCCACCCCAGAGGCATCTATTATTAGGAGTTCAGATGTTCTTCCACTTCTTTTTTCTAAACTTACATATGTACCCTTTAACATACATATCATTGGTGAATTTTGTAATTTAAATGATGCATCATACTGTATAATAAGAATGTTTTACACCCTGCTTTTTTGTATCTATTTAATGAAGTGATTTTGAAATTTATATAGATCACTATATATAGACTTAGTTGTATTTCTTTCCAGTATTCTATCTATGAATACAGAACATACTATCCATTACGTAGCACATGAGCATTTAGACTGCATTCAGTTTTTTGCTCTTATAAACAGTGCTGTACTGAACATTCTCATCTGAAGCTCCTTGAGCATGTATGAGAGGTTTTATCATTTGTGTATCTTGAAGTCAAACTCTGTTGAGTCATAGTGTATGTGCATTTTCAACTTAGGTTATCAAGTGATTGGTTGAAATAATTGCCACTCCCAACAGCAGTGTTTATTTTTGCAAATTTGATGGGTGAAAAATACTGTGGTGTTATTCTAATGTATATTTTCTTGACTCTGGTGATACTGTTATATGTTTATTAGCCAATTGGAGTTACTCGTCCGTGAATTCCCTGTTCATATCATTTACCCATTTTGTGCTTGTTACCAGTTGGGAGTTCTATAAAATCCCTATACCTGTTGTTTGCCTATTTTCCTGTTGCATTATCATTTCCTTATTAATTTGTAAGTATTCTTCATTTATTCTGAATACTACTCCTTTATTATATACATTCCAGATATCTTCCTCCAGCATATCTTGTCTTTCAACTTGTGTCTTTTGCCACTCCAAAGTTCTAAATTTTGAGGTAATTGGTGATGGATTTTCCATGGTTAGTTTTCATGGTCATGTCACTCAGTGATTTTAGGGTCATCGTTAAGAAATTCTTCCCTGAGTTCATAAAGATATCCATCTATAGTTTCTTCTAACAGCTTTAAAACTTTTATTTTTTTCTAGTTAGATCTTGAACCTCTATGAATTGTGTGTGAAATACGAGGTGTAGTGATCTAAACTTTTTGTCCCTGGAATGATAAGTCTATCCTCAATACTTCAGGCAGTTCAGAATATCAAAGATTTGTTGCCTATAGACCATTCGAGGCTCTAGAGTATAAATACCATGGGAGAGTGCTGTGCTCCTTCCTGGTATCACTCATTTTTCCCTGTGCATTGACTATCTGGATGCTCTGCTTTGAAAAGTTTGCTTCTGGGGGGGCATAAGTTTCTATTTGCATATTTAATATGTTTGCTTTAGTAAATGTAGATAGTTAAGCAAAAATGAATAAAATAAAAGCCATTTATACTTCATTCTAGAGCATAACTACTACTTAGGTTTGGGAAATAAAGTCTTCCCATCTTTTCACATCGATGTACTAATAATGGCTAATATTTATTGAGTACTTTTCTATGTACTAGCTACTGTTAAGTTGCTTTACAAACTGTATCAGTTTATTTAATCTTTAGAATAATTCCAAGGGGGTAGGTGTAATAGCCCACATTTTTTCAGATAAGGACAATGAGGCACCAAACATTGGATTGATAGGATTTTTCATTTGTTTTTAATTTTTAGTGGTTTTTTTTTTTTTTTTAAACTGTTTTTCAAAACAGGGCTTGAACTCACAACCCTGAGGTCAAGGCCTAAGCTGAAATCAAGAGTCAGACGCTTAACCAACTGAGCCACCCAGGCGCCCCTTTAATTTTTAGTTTCTATGAAAATACTATTCATGTGGTTTTATAACCTACTTTTTGTATTAGTAATTATTATTCTATGCAAATCTAGTATTCTGTTGTGTCTATTATATACTTAGTCATTCATATCACAAATTTTGAACATTTAAGTTATTTGCATACCTCAGTTATGGTAAGATTTCTATGACTATTCATTTAGCAAAACTCCAACCCACCTCTCTGTCCTTCTGACCTTCCTTCAACTTGATGATCAAAAATTGTTTTAAGTTGCATTTCTTTGATTACTCATTGATACTAAATGTTTTATATATATATACTCATATGCTTTTTTTTTCCCCTTTCATATGTCAGTTTTTCTTTCCCCAGCTGTATGTCGATGTTCATCTTTTCCCTATTGACTTGCTTTAGTACTAAGCTCAGCAAGTCTTTCTCATAGGGCAAGGTGGTGTGCTTAGGAAATTTCCCCACCCCAAGATTATATAAATAATCATTACTTCTTATACTTTGGCGCTTTTATGTTTAATTCTGTAATTCATTTGGAATTGGGTGGAGAGGAAGGGTATGTTGAAAGAAAAGAAAGAAAACTAATGCTCCTCTCCCTCCCAAAATGACTTATTTGACACAGTACCAGCTGTTGAACAATCCACTTTACCTTACTGGTTAGAAATGCAACCTTTGTTATATACTACTTTCTGAAAAATAATTAAGAATTTATCAGTTTTCTTTTCATTGATCTATTTGTTTATACTCCAGAACAAAACTTATTAAGTCTTCTGTAGTATGGCTTTAATTAGTAATCCACATTTCTGTCCTTTACCTGTAAATATAATAAATTTCCTTTTTTCTTTTGTATCAATAAGGTATTGCTAGAATGTCACCATTCACAGGTTCATATCTGCAAAGTAATGATGCAAGATATTTATTTTTAGCCAAAGAATTTGTCCTGTGTGGTTGTAAGTGAAGACACTGATGTATGCAAAGCAGAGGTTTCAAAAAGTCCACCTGGCCCTCTGCACCAACATGGAAACAGTGATGAGAATTATGTCACTCTAGCAACCTGCCTGCATTTAGAAAGAATTTTGACTAGGTTTGTGTTTAATAGATCATGTTCCTTACATACCTTTTTTATATCTAGCCTTGCTTACTCAATTCAAAATAAGTGACCAGTACCAGTGTGAAAAGTTTCTGTAAATAAGTAATAATAAGTAATTTTATGGCTTTTGTGATAAAGTGAGGCTTGTTTTATTTATGTTGGGTTTTGTTTTTTCCTCCCCTCTAGGTAGCCTTTCCAGTAAATATATGACTCAGGGAAAAGCCTCAGCGAAGAGGACCCAGCAGGAATCATGAGGGAAGGAAAAAATGCAGCACTCTAAATGGCCACTCAGGCGTTCCCATTCACTTTGAAATTAGGTTCATTTCACAGGACATAGCAGCATAGATCAGGCTTCAACTTAACATTTAAGGGAAATGTCAGATTTTTTTTAACTTAATGAAATTGTTAATGAGGAAAAAAAATTTAGTACAGTCCCAGGTACCATGAATCCCCATAGATGTAAGGATTTTAAGAGAAAGCCATGATGTATGTATTTAAGCCAGGTTTGGGGGGTTTTTTTTGTTGTTTTTTTTTTTTTAGGCCAAGCTTAAAAAAAAAAAAAAAAAAAAAAAAGTATAACTGTGGGCCAGTATTCAGTGAATACAATTTCATGGTTTTTAATTCTTTCAAAGCACACTGAAAGTGGTGTGCTGATACACCCAGAGTAAATTAACCCTTTTTTTCACCTACAAATCCCTTTTTTGTTTTGAAGAAGGGAAATTATATTTATTGTTTACTGAATCCTTGTGTGAAAGCATATCAAATATGTGTGAACTGCTACTACTGTATTTACAATTTACAAACCATATTTTATTGATATTTGTAGAAATGACAACCTGAACATGAGCACCTATTTATGCAAGCCTTCCGTGGGTCAAGCAGCGCCACTGAGAGGCTCTGGGGTTTTTTCCCTAATTTTAAGTAAGTTGACATAGAATTACTGTGCTCATAAAAAAAAAAATGAAATAAGGAATACAAGGAGTCCTGTTTGCTGCTAAAAACATTTTCAAAGGAAAAATGACAAAACAGAAGTGCTTTTTACTTTTTATGATACTCGGAAATTAGGGTGGAGAACTTTTAAATATCCCTGAGGATTAAAGAGGCCATCTCTGCCAATCACAAGTTTGGTTGGTGTCATTCTGGGTCTGACTGGAGCCCCCCTGGAACTGTTTCTCTAACTCCACAAGCCCTCCAGAAGTAGAATGTGGTCAGAACAATGCCTCGGTTTATTTATCATTTTGAAATAAAACCAGAATTTCAACCTGTAATTTTATCCACATTACTTTCTAGCAAGAGTCCTAAATTTCATGAGGAAACCAGATGAAGGAGTGAGGGCAGTATAAATCTGCTCCTCTTTATCTCATACTCCCTCTACTTTATCTCGTGCTCAAGCAATCTACAGTTCATTGACCCCACTGTGTGCCAAGCACTGGGAATGCCCACAGGAGAGGCACAGGCTTGGTGGGATGAAGACAGAGAAGGACGGGGAGAGTGTTTGTTGGGCGAGCGTTCCCGGCTAGGAGAGGGCTCAGAAAATAGCACCTGTGAGCCCTTCTTTTCACCTACTTGAAGACATACTCCAGTTAAAGAAGAATCCTATCAAAATTACCTACAGAATTTGGGAAGTTGTGGTAGAAGGGTTTAGTGATTGTTCCTTACTCAGTTTGGACAAACCCAAACACCTGAATTAACCGCATGAATTAGGCACCCAGGGCAGAAGCTGCTCTTCTGATTTCTCTTGCCTTCAGCATGAAAATGAGCTTGACTGGGCACACAATTCTTGTCACACTTTCTTTGAAAAGCTATTAATGCTGTCTTCTGGCATGATAGCAGAAATCGGAGGCCAGTCTAATTTTTGTTCCCTTGTAGATTTTATTTTTCTGCTTGGATACCTCAGCAGAGGTTTCCCTGTAAGTTTTTTGTCTGTGACTTTTCTCTAAAACAGAAGCAAATCCCATGCATCTCCCTAGCTCAGTTTGGTTTTTTGGTTGGTTTTTTTCAACTTGGAAAAGTATGTTATTTTTTTTTTCCCCCTCAAAAATACTTTTGTCTTTTTTCATTATTTCTCTATCATCTTTTTCCTTCATCCTAGGAGAACTCAAATTTAATCTCCACATGACTGGCTGGATTTTTTATGTCATTTTGCTGTTTTCTATCTCACATGAATTTCATCATTTCACTTCTAATTGTCCTCAACGTACCTCAGCCACCTTCCCTTTTCCTCTCATTCAAGTTTATTCTTATTATTTTCCTTTTCATGGAAACCACATTTCCTTATATCCTTTTAAGAATGTTAAAAAGCTTCCTACATTTTATTCTAGTTCCTGGGTAAATTTCAGTTCCTCACACTGATCATTTGGGACAGTGACCAGTGTTTGCCAGACCTGAAGAATGGATGACCCTTGACTTGGGCGCTGGTCACAGCCCCTTCTCAGGGCCCCAGCCGGGGACAAGTGGATCTGCTCCATGCTGAGGCCAGCTCCTAGTTATCGTTCAGATGCAGCTGGCCTGTCCCTCCACAAGCTCTACAGATGCTCCACTAGCACAATTTCCTCTTTCTCCCAGGAACACATAAGAAAATGAAATCTATTCTTACAGCCCTGTCTACTCTAATCCCTTGCTCAGTGTGTACAGTAATCAGCAGAGTGCACACTTAGAGATATCACTAAAATGTTCCGACATAACTTCAGTTTACTTTTCATTTTCAAATGTGTTTCACAAATGATTCTACTTAAAAAAAATCTTTACTGAGTGGGAAAAAAAATCCTGGGTAAATAGGATTCATGGTGTTACAGGTGAGGGGAAAAAAAAAAGTTCAGATTCAGATGTTCACAGAATTCAACAAACTCCCATAAAATTGTAAAGATGTACTTAGTACTTTTTTCTTTGAAAGTAGGCATGTTTAGACAACAGTAGTCAAGAATTTAGCATGCTTCCCTGGTTGGAATTCTAGGCTTAATTAGGGTCTCTGGCTCTCCCAGTTTTCCAGCTGAGAGTGTGGCAATCCTCCTAACCTCGTGGCAGTTCAGTTTCCGTGCCTATAAAATGGAAGTCACACCTGCCCTTTCACAGAGTAGAGAGGATCAAGTGAGGTCTTAACTAGGAAAACCACTTTTAAATGTCTAAAACCCTGAAACTAAGGCCCGAAGTGCAATGTTGAACATTTCCCTATTTTAAGTTTTTAACCTATTGGTGGAAATCTAAATGTGGTCACAGCTTGCCAGCTCCCTCAACAGTTACCACACCCACCTCAGGACACCCTAGGACAGCTGCTACCCTGAGATAAGGGAGCCCACATATTTCTTAAATAGTCACAAAACCCTCCTAAGGCCAGTTTATCTGAGGGGCCTGCACCAGTTTCAAATAACATTAGGTATGCCTGACCCACCAATAAGTAGATTATGTGACTTACCTCTCACACGCAAAACAGCCAACCAAGTTAAAAATTGAGTAGTGTGTATTAAATAGATGAAAGAATTAAGCATACATGGGGGATCCTAAACCAAAAAATTTAGGATTAGATTTTTTAAATGTACTTCTTTCCTAATTCACTATACTAAAAGGCCAGAGTTTATGCATCACTTTTAAACTAGTCGTCCCAATGTTCCTGCCCTACCTATTCTAAAATTGTGAGGCTATGAGAAAGTGTGCCCAAGGGTACTCTTGTAATGTATAAAGTCCTACACAATTACGTAACAATATTTCAACAATTAAGAATCATACATGGCATCTTTTTTTTTTTTTTACATTTTATTAACACTATTTCTTAGAACAGTTTCAGGTTCACAACAGAACTGAATGGAAAGTGCAAAGTTTCTGTATACTCTTGTCCCAACACAAGTCCAAATCCTCCACTATCCACATCCTGTACCAGCGTGGGGTATTTTTTTTTTTCAACTGATGAACCTATGTGGACAGAACATTATCCCCAAAGTCCATTGTTTACATTAGGATTCATTCTTGGTGTGATATGTTCTGAACAACTAGCAACAGTTTATTGAGTTGCTGGTACTTAGCTACGTGCCATACACTCCTCCAAGGGCCTTCCATTTAATCTTCACAGTGTCTGTAGGAGGAAGGGCATCGGAAGTAAAACACCTTGTACCAAATCACCCAGCTAGTCCGATGAAGCCAAGACAAACCCACCATACTACCATCATCTAATCTCACCGTCTCTTTTGTGTTAAGCCGGGTTTGGAGGCCAAAACCACCATTCTCTTACTGTCATTACTTAGGGGAATTTTGAACTCTCCAATCCTGTAGCAGCAGATGAAAGAAACTGGGCTCTAAAACACACTTCGCTGATTAGTTCTTTCCACACTGAAACACTGAGCAGAGTCCATCCTCCCCAGGACCGCCCCACCGACCCTCCTTTTTCCTTTACCTCTAGCACTGCCTCGAGAAATGCCACCTATGAGAAAAGCCACCTATCCGGAGGTTGCCCTCCCGAGCGCCAACCCCGCTGCACTTCTGTCCTCCCAAGATCGCTCATTCTTTCCTGGACTCTCCATTTACCAGGCTTAGGTGTGTTTCAATTAACAAGCAGAATTATAAGGCAGAGGCCCCTGAGCAGCGACTGCAAGGTCTGGCAGACAACAGGTGTTCATTCAAGTCTGTTCAGTGGTTCTCGCTGAGTGTTAACGGAGCTGCCCAATCACATCCTCGGAGCGCTTTGGGTTCCAAAGTCAGTCCCTGAAAGCGTAAGTTGTATTAGCACCAACCTCCAACAACCCTTCAAGTCAGCACGCGGTGAGGGGAGGACGAGTAGGGGTGTGTTTGGGTGGTTTATTTCACCACTCTGCGGTAAGTCTATGCTCTGAAGAAGTGTCTAGCTCGACCAGAAAGGAAGACAAGTACGTGTGCCTAGGCCTCGGAACCCTTCTGCTCTAGAGAACACCAGCTCTCGCGTTCAGCGTTCCTAAGCAGTGACGCCGCACCTTTCCCAGGGACAGGTCGGGGTGCGACAAGCCTCCAGAGTCAAGCCAGCAATCACTCCGCGTGCCCAAACCCCACTCCCCACGACGCGCCTAAACAGTCCCCGGAAGACGACCTTACAACCCCACGCACCCCAGCCTCGGGTTGTGCCCCCGCGTCACGTGCCCACAGCCCGAGCGCCGCGCCCCACCCTCCGCCTGTCACTCATGCGGCTGCCCAATGACGGCGGCGGGGCGGGCCCGCGCGGGGTGGGGCCTGGGGCGCCGTGCGCCGGAGCCTGTGGCGTCAATGCGGCCGCGGTGTCCATGGAGAGAGGGTGAAGTGGCCGAGCTTCGGCCCGAGGCACCGGGGCTCCGGGACCGCGAGGATGTCGGCTTCTTTAGTCCGAGCCACTGTCCGGGCTGTGAGCAAGAGGAAGCTGCAGCCCACCCGGGCCGCCCTCACCCTGGTGAGTGGCCGGGGCGCGCGGTCGGACGGGTGACATTGGTTCACCTCCGCCCCCGCGAGGAGGTCACGGCGGCACGGCGCCCGGCCCGCTGTGCGGCCGCCGCGTCGCCGCCCTGCCCTCCTTGCCCTGGCTGGGGAGATAAACAAGCCCGGGTGGGGCTGCTCC